GGTGGTGGTGGTGGTGGTGGCCTGGTTTCGGGTCCAGAAGACTATAGTCAGTGTTGAGGCAGGTGGGTTTGTCAATCAGGGTCTAAGTTTGAGCTTCCTCCAAGGCAGGGTGAGCGGTTTTCACTCCGGGCCCCTTCGCGTACTGAAAGAACAGAAAATATCGTGACCAGAGCTGCTCAGCCGGACGACTGTAAATCCCATAGCAGTCATGCGCGGACTTGACGCAAGGGTCTTATTGGGGCTACAACACGGCATGATACCGTATGGCAGAAACTGGTTTCGGTACAGGTAGGAGCCAAGCTGCTAAACCCTAAGCCTTTAAGCTGGCGTATGTTTCATTTGCTAGTCTATGGTGCTTCTGGTTGGGCGACATTATACACTTCATCGTACAAGGCTCCCTTCTGTGTTGAAATGCTGCTTATTTGGACTCCTTGGTGCCATCCAGCATTGCGTAGTACAACTTGTGAGCAATCCGTGGTTCTTTTAGGGCTTTGTACCTAAACCCTAACCCTTCTATACATTTATTCATCTTTATACCCTGTGTTCTCCCTAAGCCCCGAACCCTAAACCACCTAAAACCCTATACCCCAAAGCCCTAAATGCCCTCAACCCGATCCCAGTCTGCTGTAATGCCTAAACGGCCCTAAACCCCAAACCTTAAACCCATTTGCATGCAGTGTGTTTTATAAGACTTTTCCAAGGCGAGGAAGCATCAAGATGTGCCAAAAAGGACATTCGGCGGTGGCCCCTCGCCCATGCAGTGCCACTCTGTTCGGGTTCAGGGCAACGTTGAGGGTTGCTGGGTCTTGAATAAGGTTCTAGAAAGGCTTGGTGGGACGCTTGAAGGGCTTTTTGGGAGTTTTTAGGTTTTGGTGACCTGTGCGATCCTTTCAGGGCCTAGGTTAGGGCTCTGGGTTCTGGGTCCGCTCAAGCATGACGAGCGACCACCTTTCATCTGATACTTTAGCTTCTGTATTTTTTTGAGGTCAGATGTCATGGCACAAAGTAAGCAGCATGACACGATCCAACATCGTGAAGCAGACGCATCATGAGTGGAACACTTCGTATAAACACCTTGTGACGTTCTGCAGCCATCTATGTAATCGTACAGAAAAGCAGGCGACAACAACAGTCATGTGTCACAGCTGGTTAGACTGCAATGCCACCATGTGGCACACGTGAAGCAAGTCTCGATGACTATCCTCCTTTGGGAACCCACAGCCTGACGCCCTCGGCAAATCTCTGCTTGAACTTGGCGCTGTTTGGCGCTAAAATTTGGGGCCGCTTACGTCTTGAGCAGGGTTGCTGCTTGCTTTGTAGCCCGCCTGTTTGGGTAAATCGTCTCTTCTCTTTGTTAGTGCTTCTCCGCATTAAGGCCAAGGGTAGTCGTGTCAGTGTGATTGTCATTGCAGGACACTCACACCCGGACCCCAAGTAAATGCAATCCCAATTTCGGCATCCCGGCGCATGTAAAGAAAAAGGCTATCGGACGTGCACAAGATCCCATAAGAGCTAGGTTTTTGATCGCACAGCCTGTAGCAGCACCCACAGACCGCACCCCCCTCTCCCAAACAAAAGGCAAGACCACCCAACATCTCGATACCCTATAGTTAACCCCCCAAAAAAATCTTGAAATCCGTTCTGCCAGGCCGCTTAAAAGAGAGCCTGTTCCGAAGGTGTCGAGATGCCGCCCACTCGTTGGAGGAGAAACACCCGGATCTCCACGTCATGTCTAGCGAGAAGGCTCTGGGCTTGGCGCTTTTCAGGGTTCGGGGCTCTGGGCCTGTTTGGGGGTGTGCTGGGTGTCAGGTGTCTTCGTTGGGTGCCTCGGGGATTTTTTATGGGGGTTAGGGTCGTCGATCAATTCGGCGCCCCCTCGGGCTATCTGAGGGTTTTTGCTTGTTTTGTGCCTAGGGAGTTTGGGGAGCAGATGTTTGGCCCGGCCTCAGTGGATTGATTCATGGCATCGTGGGCGGGTCCGGTCTCTCTTTCTGGCCGTCACTGGTGTGTGTAGTGTGTGTAGCGTGCAGGACGGACTATTTCCAGGGTTTGCATTGAGGTAGCCCCTGAACCCGAGGCACGAAGACTCTACATTAATCTGTATAATGATAGCCCTCAGCCCTAATGCTGTCAACCCGAAACTGTGAACGTTGCTTTCCAGAGTTTGCTGGTTTTGGGTCAGGGGGCAGCCTAGTGGCCTTGAGTGTTCGCTACCAGGCCGAAAATCCGAAATGTCAGCACTTCTAGAGAACAATCATGGCGCTCTGGCTATACCGATCAATACCAGCCAACAACGCTACCCAGTGTGAGGATGGTCATCGTGGTTTTGTGCATTAGTATTGAACAGTATTGTTCTCATTAATTATGTCCCTTGTCAGTGTTGTTCTCTTTCTCTGACCTCTTCGTGTTCCCATTGCTCATGGCTGGGTTTGCAATTGTCAGTTTGCTTGCAAGTCTTGGCATATCTACTGGTGTCACTGCAAATGTTGTCACTCCTACTATCACAGATTCTTTCACTTGATGTGACATCCTTTGGGCCCTTCAGTTCTCCGTCCATTCCTGCGGACCCTCAAGCCTAAACCCTCAACCCTAACGCCCTGCTTCCTCGAGGTCTTGCAATGCATCGCCTCCCTTGTGCTGCAAAAAGTGTCGCAATACGGCTGGTTTGACGCGGCGGCTGGAGCAGCAATGGAGACGGTCGGAATGTAGTCCCCTACATTCTTATTCAGGAATAGTACAGACTACCCGGGCCTACCACAAAGCACTGCTGTAATTGTCACGGCCCCCAGATCACTTGAAGCTGCGTAGGGACTTATCACTTATAGGTAGGGACACCACAGACGAACGTACAATCTGATTGTCGTTTATTTGTACAACTGCAACATCGAACATCAGGTTTTTGAGCTGATTTCTCACTGTCCAGTCTTGCCTAGCCTTATCCATCGCTCCAGCGGGCACGGTTTCAGCCATGATTGGTTTGCAGTCCACCCTCAACGATTTATGATGTTTTTGTAATCAAGTATTCTGTCAATGTAGCCACAAAAGCCGCCCGAAGACTCTTCGAAGTATCAAGCACAAACCAGAACACCCACTGCTTTTGTACCTGACCAGCCCTCAGCCCGAACAACCAATAATACACCTGCACCCTGAACGATAAAGCCCCATATGAATCTATCAAGCCCCAGCAGCCTTTATGACATGCCTTGCAAGCCTTGCCGATGTTTAAGGGTTTCTGTTCTGCTGACTGTAAGGGCTACGGCGGCTACGGTAAGAAAGCGAATCCTAAATGCTGAACCTCGAAACTCCTGAACAACCCCCCAATGAAACCCTGCACGATCCGCGGTTAAGCCATGAGCCCAGGTCAAATCCCTTAGGGCCGCTTGTAAGGCCCTGCAAAAACTTCGGTAGACACTCACAGAACCCGTATGAAACCTCTCTGAAAGGCTCTATCTCCTAAGCCCCAAAACCTAAACCCGAAAGCTCCAAGACAAACTTGAGGTCGACTGGTCGGTGGTGTTGGCAGCCTTTGTGGCCGAGAACACACAACTGGGCAGAGAGGAGGAGACCTTGGGGGTCTTTTGGGATTTTGGACGTCGTTTGGGGCTTCAGGCTTGTGTCTTTTTTTTTGGGGGGGGGGGTGGGGGGGGGGGTAAGTTTTGTGGGGTTGTGGTGGGCGGGGTTGGCAGAAGGGCGTTTTGAGTATTGGAATCCAGAGTACAGAACAAACTGCCCCAAACCCGTTGCGAATACATCCACATCCGCCAGGGGGATGCTAAGGGGAAGCTCCACACGAGATGTAGATCGCATGGTGGCTTGTCCATTCGCCACGTCAGTGTCTGGTGGATTATAGAGCCTGAGGCAAAGCCGCAAAGCCTCTAACCCCAGAGACCCTATGGCCCTATGGCATTAGGGTTGGGGGTCACAGTTGGGTCCGTTCGACGGAGCGGAGCGACCCCGACATTTGCAACACCAACACACCAGCACCACAGCAGCAAAAACAACAACCCGCCGCAAGAAGCCCACACCACTCTGTGTACCCTCCATACACTCGCCATACACCCTCCACACCCTCCGCATCCCCTATACACCCTTTTACTTCACAGCCCCTAGGGTATTCCAAACACATCCTGGTAGACCCTCGTACAGCCCCTATGCCACACACCCCTATACCCCCCGTGCACACCCTGCGCACGCAGACTTCAGAAAATAAAGGGGTCTGCTCCATGTAAGCATAGAGCGCTGTGGACCATGCAGCAAGAATATCTGCAGGGTTCTTGAGGTACAGAAAAGATCCCAAACCGAAGCCTAGCAGCGCACCGAAGGTTCTGAAACCCTTTCCCTCCAAACCCGAGGCTCTAAACTCGGAATTGCAGGTAGAACCAATGTCCTCGAATCACTTTTTCGGAAGCCCATGCACAAGCTCTTGGCCATATGACTTCCAAATTCGAGACGCCCAAGATGCCTCGGCCCACTTCCGGGATTTGAAGTTGCAGCATCTTGACTTTTGATTCGCAAATCAAAAGCCCTGCTAGAGAGGGTGAGCATCCAAATGATGACTGCTATGGACAGGAGCTGCTTCCAGTGGCGCTCGAGGTGGTTGAAAGATGGTGGCCTGGCTGCTATTCGATACAATACGAGATTCCGAGTAACGGGAGAGGAACATGTTGCCTAATGCAAAGACCCAAACACTAGACACAAAACCCTGTGTAGTATGGAATACTCCAAAGCCCGCTTCCCGTAATTATACACTGTATGTCAAGTCAGGTCCTTACTCTCACTATAGACCCAGTCTCATTAGTTTAGCAGGCAACCTTTGGAATTCTCGCTTGTGACAGGAATTACTTGTGTCATATCCAAAACCGGTCAACCTTTCCGGGCCTTGATGGTCGTCCTTATGCGCACTTCATGATCCCATATGCGGAGACGTCTCAAATACGAGTGATTTTGCAGAGTTTCCCGCAGAGCTCAGGGTGCTGCTGTGCAGCTGCTTCTACCGATACACTGGAGTGTGCTTTTGAGTATACAGCCATGTGCTGTATGTGCTGTAGCAACTGAGCATGCGACTATGATACGGTAGTAAAGAGAAACACAGGTGTCATTCAGATATGAGACTACATGGTCGGACAGGATGGATAGGGCTCGCGAAGCAGCGAACGATGGGCAACATGGGAGGTGTAGTCCGAGCATCACCTTGCACAGTTCAAGGGTAGACCAATGCGATAATGTGGCCAGTGCAATGAATGGTTACAGAGGGTGTAGTTGGTACCAGGCACTGCCGGTCGATTGCCTGCCTCAGGTGCAGAAAAAGATACAAGGAGTCGCTGGCAGCAAAGCAATCTGTCCCTCCAGGTCCGACTGTGGGAGCGGCATGGGTTGCAAGGGCCCCTCCCGCCTCCCCTACAAACCCTAGCTTAAAGGCTGTACAGTGCAGACCGTGCTGTGAGGTCAGACATCAGAAACGTGTGCTGCCGGCAAGGAGATCCTTCCTAAGTTTCTAGGCTACCAAATGTGAAGCAGGGTTGCGCGCATCAAGGGTATACGGTGCGCCGTTACAGGCCAGCCCTGGGTTCTTCCACGCAAAAGCAACAGATCCAAGGACCACTTGCCATACCAACGCCACCACCACCACCACCAACGTCGCCGCCGCCTCTGCCACCACCACCGCCGCCACCACCACTACCACCCCCGCCACCCCACTTCCACCGCTGCCGCCGCCAGCACCAGCACCAGCACCAGCACCAGCACCAGCACCAGCACCAGCACCAGCACCAGCACCAGCACCACCACCACAAGCTAGAAGAATAATAAATGACAGCGTCAACGGCAACGGGCATAGCAAGACAATCAATGGACAACGACAGCAAATAGGATGGAAACACAAAGCTATGTCTCAAGAATCGTCTTTGGATGTTCGATTAGCAGCGCCCTTCCACAATCTGCAAGAGCCTGTGAACCTCCGATGCAGTCGGGTGGGGTGCTCCCAGTGTCACCTTTCTGCCAAGGTTGCAGGGCAAGCAGACGAACAAGATGTCGAGCGAAAGGCCCGGCAAAACAAAAGAGTTCAGTTTTCGAGCTTGGTTCGGGGATGTCTTTCAGTTCTCCTGGATACAAGTTAAGGAAACCGTCTCAGCCAGAGGCATATTGTAACTGCCGCCTGACATAAGCATGCAACTCGCATGCGCGGCTGTAAGCGCCAGTGCCGAAATAGTAAAATGGAATCCGAAAGTTTGAACTCCAACAGTCCTCGCCCCCATCCCTTCGAACAGCATTTCAAATTGAAGGAGAACCTCGCGGAAGGACCGTGGCTACAAGGTGGGATGGCCACTGCAGGCTTGCCATAAACCCCAAACCTGACGGCCTTACGGTGTATCGGCTGCTGTTTTCATTTTACTTGACTATGAGTTCGTTTCTGACAAGACTGACGAACTTATGCTAGCATCAGCGAGAGTGTCAACATATTCATGTTGTGTGGACACATGAGTGAGAGTGTCAACCTATTCATGTCGTGCGGGCAGCCAGAAAGATAGAACACAAACAGGAAAGCCGATGTTGCTACGTGAAGACTGTAGCATGGAATGGCATCATGTTTCGCAATGCATTGTAGTTTCATGTCGTATGGCAATATACATGAAGTAGGATACACTTAGCATGATATGATATGGTGAGATAGATTTCGATCTGGTGGGATATGTATTTTGATGTAGTAGAACTGGGTACAGCCTAGTCTAATATCTTTCTGAATTATTCTGCATATCCACAGGTGCAGACTGCAGTGAATAGACAATGGACAGAGTTGCCTGTGAGGGTAGAGGCCAAGCTGCTTGAATGCGGAAGGCTGCAGAAGTCGACTTGCGAGACTTGGACACCGATTTCAACTACCTCTGGAAGGCCGCAGAGGACGATTTGCGAGAGATCGACACGGACCTCGGCCACCTCGCCGAGGCAGACAGGTTTTCTCTCACGTTTCTCGCGCCTGCTTTATCTGTGGCTCTGAAGACTTTGTTTCAGGGTTGGGGCGTTCAGGGTTTGGGGCTGCGTAAAGGCTTTTTGATAGTTTCACTGCCATGCTGCAATGGATGGTGATCAACTCTCAGGTGGAGTGATTGTTGGAAATGCAGTCGGGACCTCTGCAGATGCACATTCGTGTATCGATATGTATTGGCAGGCCAGGTGAACCCCAAACCCTAAGCTCGTCGACGGATCCGAAAGTTTAGAGGGCTGACTTGCAGAGGAAGTTGAGTGCAGTTGAGGGATAGGGGACGTCACAGGAACTTCTGGTCACTCTTATGCACTGCTGCGAGGATACCATAAGTCCAGAAGCATCGATAAGACGTCAGAGTTCACCAAGCCCGCACCAGAGCCCCAAAGCTAGTTGAAAAAGATCTCGTTTCCTTGTATGGCAGATATCCAACCCGGTACTCATGCATGCAAAAGGAGATGTAATACAAGAGCCCCTCAGTCATGCGATCGGTTGTCGAGGCGTGACCTTTGCTTAGTTTCTTCCCTACCCACGCAATCTCAGGCCCAGGAACTTGGAGGCATCTGTAGGCTTGAGTCCGAATTCTGGCAATCTGGTAAAACATCAGGTCGTGGGTCAGTGTAAACTCGTTTTGTTCAGGTCTCAGGTTGCATTGGAACAAACAAAGCTACCTTGAGCCTCTCAGAGTTGCACAAAGGGCACGGATCCCAACCGACCGATACAGACACCTTTAGAGCTTGAAGTCGACCTTTTCATATGATCCTGGGCAGCAGGATGAGCCGCTGGGCGTTTCTTTGCGACAGGCCAGCAGCGGATCTTGAAGCTTTGGGAATTTCAGGTTGTTCATTCTGTAAAGATCATGCTGGAACAAGGGAGAGAGTCAAGCGGGCGGGATTGTTTTGGCATGTTTCTCGGTAATAAGTGCTCCCCTTCAACCGGCTTTTGCAAACACACGCCTGCCTCCCAACGAGATGCATCCGAAAGCTTGCAATCCTTGAGATACTGAAAGACTTCGAATTCAGGATGCTCGAGGGGCCGGACATTAACCACAGAGGCGTCTGCTTAGGAGAAGTACGCCCGGCTTCGTCATGGGCTAAGCCCCCAACTCTGCACAGAAGCAAGCCCAAAACCTGTGCAATCCCTTGCAAAGTAGCATCCTCATCAGAAGGGCCCCTCACTGAGGTACCCCTGATTCCCCTCATTCCATTCCCCCACGGACCCTAAACCCTAAAACCGTGCTGGCAGGGGCTTCTCCAGATAGAAGCCACGACTTCGGGGACCAAGTCCCACGAGGTGCTGAAGCCGGGAGTGCCTTGGCAGAACCGTGGCTTTGCTGGGTTGGGGTTCAAGCTTAAGGGTTCTAGAGGAAGTTTCTACAAAGGTCGGGGGGTTATAAAGCCTTCGATAGTACAAGGGCAGGTTTGGGCTTCAGGGCCTCGGGTTCATAATGTCTTGGGACTTGAGAAATTCGCATTGAGGCTTGAGGCTGTGGGTTGCCGGTGCAACCTGATTCGCCCAGTCGGACCACCCGGATCATCAGCTGTTTGGGGACATTGGATTTCGGGGTTTTAGGGCGAGTCAGTAAGTCAGTCCCCAAATGTTGGCTTAAGGTTGCATGGCCTTCAAGCATTCACTGTACCTCTTTAATCTTATTCTGGCCAGTGCTCCTCTCTGAAACGTGCGAGGCGATTTGGGCCAAGCTGCGATTTGCTTGCTTGGGGCATGCATTCTAAACATGCTTTGCCGCTGGTTCTCTAAGCAGCGGGTGCGGTTTTCCCCGACTCCGTCTCCGTGTAGATAGACAGGTTGGAATCCAAGGGCCAACATGAACCGAAGCTCCATTTCAAACCGGGAGCTCCATTTTCAGTAGGTCATCGGACTTGAACTTTGATTTTGAGAAAGACGAGTTTAGGATATCTAGTGTGTAGGACAATGGGCCCAGCTCCAAACTGGGAATGCGCTGTTCTTGCTGCAAAACATCCAGCAGAAGCACCGCCATCTAGGATTTAGGCATCTTGGCAGCTTATACTTATTTCTTGAGATGAGCACACCTCGATGGCTCAGAGCGTCGTTGGTCTTACCTTGGTTCGCTGATCTAGGAGTAAAACTGTGTGGGGACCTACAAGTAGAGTCCTAGAGTACCCCCTTGTTCCGTATTATGATCCCACAAGGAGTGGTCTATTGTAGTCTCGACTGCCTACCAACATGGTGCCCTTCCTAGTAACCCAAACTCGAACCCTTCGTTCTAGGCAACCCTTAAATGTAGCCCCCATGGGTACTCCCTAGTGTATAGCCCATAAAGGAACCGTGAACCCCTCAGCCTTCCTTGCGAGGACACCCTACACCCTAAACCCTAAACCCATAATAAGGGAACCCTAAACCCTAAACCCATACGGGAACCCTGAACCCATAAGGGAACCCTAAACCCATAAGGGAACCCAAACCCTAAACCCCTTCCTTGCCGAGGACACGATCAAATCGGTCAACGGAGTGACTTTGGCATCTCAGCAGGCGGGAGCCTCTCGAAGTTGGGGGGGGGGGGTCTCAGCTCGTAATACCTCTAGCCGCCATTGTGGTTCCTTTTTGGGACTACCTTTTCGGATCCTTAATATGAAAATGGGTTAAACCAAAAAGAAAGGGAACTACAATGGAGACTATAGGTAAGACACCATTTTCGGGCTATAAGTGCCCGAATAAGGGGTTATAATGATTAGTTACCCTACTTATAACCCCGCTTATAGCGGCCCATGAACCTCCAAGTATGGTTGCACGCACCTGCACAGAGG